TCGACAAAAATACAGTTTCTAACTAAAATTTGATGGTTTCGTTGCACTTTCCGAGCTCGTAGGGTATCTGAGTGGCTTAAAAGTACAAGAAAACACTTCAAAAGTGACGTTTCTGAAGAATTTTAACAGTTTTCTTGTATCTACGAACGCCAGAATGCATAAAATTGACCTAAACGTCTCCTTTTCCTATTCTGAGTCGATTCTGCATGCTTTAAGTGTGTTTGGTGGCTCAGAACCATCAAAAATCGTTGAAATATAGTTCAAATTCAATAAAAATCGACAAAAATACTGTTTCTAGCTAAAATTTGATGGTTTCGTTGCACTTTCCGAGCCCGTAGGGTATCTGATTGGCTTAAAAGTACAAGAAAACACTTCAAAAGTGACGTTTCTGAAGAATTTTAACAGTTTTCTTGTATCTACGAACGCCAGAATGCATTAAATTGACCTAAACGTCTCCTTTTCCTATTCTGAGTCGATTCTGCATGCTTTAAGTGTGTTTGGTGGCTCAGAACCATCAAAAATCGTTGAAATATAGTTCAAATTCAATAAAAATCGACAAAAATACAGTTTCTAGCTAAAATTTGATGGTTTCGTTGCACTTCCCGAGCCCGTAGGGTATCTGAGTGGCTTAAAAGTACAAGAAAACACTTCAAAAGTGACGTTTCTGTAGAATATTAACAGTTTTCTTGTATCTACGAACGCCAGAATGCATAAAATTGACCTAAACGTCTCCTTTTCCTATTCTGAGTCGATTCTGCATGCTTTAAGTGTGTTTGGGGTCTCAGAACCATCAAAAATCGTTGAAATATAGTTCAAATTCAATAAAAATCGACAAAAATACAGTTTCTAGCTAAAATTTGATGGTTTCGTTGCACTTTCCGAGCCCATAGGGTATCTGAGTGGCTTAAAAGTACAAGAAAAGTGTGTTTGGTGGCTCAGAACCATAAATATAGTTCAAATTCAATAAAAATCGACAAAAATACAGTTTCTAACTAAAATTTGATGGTTTCGTTGCACTTTCCGAGCCCATAGGGTATCTGAGTGGCTTAAAAGTACAAGAAAACACTTCAAAAGTGACGTTTCTGAAGAATTTTAACAGTTTTCTTGTATCTACGAACGCCAGAATGCATAAAATTGACCTAAACGTCTCCTTTTCCTATTCTGAGTCGATTCTGCATGCTTTAAGTGTGTTTTGTGGCTCAGAACCATCAAAAATCGTTGAAATATAGTTCAAATTCAATAAAAATCGACAAAAATACTGTTTCTAGCTAAAATTTGATGGTTTCGTTGCACTTTCCGAGCCCGTAGGGTATCTGATTGGCTTAAAAGTACAAGAAAACACTTCAAAAGTGACGTTTCTGAAGAATTTTAACAGTTTTCTTGTATCTACGAACGCCAGAATGCATTAAATTGACCTAAACGTCTCCTTTTCCTATTCTGAGTCGATTCTGCATGCTTTAAGTGTGTTTGGTGGCTCAGAACCATCAAAAATCGTTGAAATATAGTTCAAATTCAATAAAAATCGACAAAAATACAGTTTCTAGCTAAAATTTGATGGTTTCGTTGCACTTTCCGAGCCCGTTGGGTATCTGAGTGGCTTAAAAGTACAAGAGAACACTTCAAAAGTGACGTTTCTGAAGAATTTTAACAGTTTTCTTGTATCTACGAACGCCAGAATGCATAAAGTTGACCTAAACGTCTCCTTTTCCTATTCTGAGTCGATTCTGCATGCTTTAAGTGTGTTTGGTGGCTCAGAACCATCAAAAATCGTTGAAATATTGTTCAAATTCAATAAAAATCGACAAAAATACAGTTTCTAGCTAAAATTTAATGGTTTGGTTGCACTTTCCGAGCCCCTAGGATATCTGAGTGGCTTAAAAGTACAAGAAAACACTTCAAAAGTGACGTTTCTGTAGAATATTAACAGTTTTCTTGTATCTACGAACGCCAGAATGCATAAAATTGACCTAAACGTCTCCTTTTCCTATTCTGAGTCGATTCTGCATGCTTTAAGTGTGTTTGGTGGCTCAGAACCATCAAAAATCGTTGAAATATAGTTCAAATTCAATAAAAATCGACAAAAATACAGTTTCTAGCTAAAATTTGATGGTTTCGTTGCACTTTCCGAGCCCGTTGGGGATCTGAGTGGCTTAAAAGTACAAGAAAACACTTCAAAAGTGACGTTTCTGAAGAATTTTAACAGTTTTCTTGTATCTACGAACGCCAGAATGCATAAAGGTGACCTAAACGTCTCCTTTTCCTATTCTGAGTCGATTCTGCATGCTTTAAGTGTGTTTGGTGGCTCAGAACCATCAAAAATCGTTGAAATATAGTTCAAACTCAATAAAAATCGACAAAAATACAGTTTCTAGCTAAAATTTAATGGTTTGGTTGCACTTTCCGAGCCCCTAGGGTATCTGAGTGGCTTAAAAGTACAAGAAAACACTTCAAAAGTGACGTTTCTGAAGAATTTTAACAGTTTTCTTGTATCTACGAACGCCAGAATGCATAAAATTGACCTAAACGCCTCCTTTTCCTATTCTGAGTCGATTCTGCATGCTTTAAGTGTGTTTGGTGGCTCAGAACCATAAAAAAACGTTGAAATATAGTTCAAATTCAATAAAAATCGACAAAAATACAGTTTCTAGCTAAAATTTGATGGTTTCGTTGCAGTTTCCGAGCCCGTAGGATATCTGAGTGGCTTAGGCCCGGTATTTCAGTTGTTGGTTAAACCAAGAAATTATAGTTAACCAAAAAAAGTTTTGGTTAAGTGTATTTCAGTGTGGGGTTAAGATATTTGACGGTTAAATTTGTTGGTTACTTTAACCCAGCCCAGCTAGGTGGTTTAACCATTATTTTTTTGGTTAACACATGCGCAGTAGACGCCACTGTCCGCGAAATTTTGGGAGACATTTTGAAGACCAGTTTTGACAGTTTTTCTTGTTATTAATCACCGTTCTAACCTCGTTTTCTCGTGTACCTCGTGCCTGTTGTTGTGTTTTTTTTTCACTGTTAAGTATATAATAAAATCTACAGGATGAACAGTGAACGTGAACGTGTTAGATCAAAAAATTTTGAAACACAAGAAATTTGCCTACTTGTAGATTTGGTTAGACAAAACAAGAATGTGATCGAGTGCAAAGAAACTGGAATCGTCAATAATAAGCAAAAGGGGATAGCCTGGGAGAAGTTGACAGAAACATTTAATGCCATTTCTGGTACCGTGCCTCGAACGTCCAGGAATCTAAAAGACAAATGGACAAATTTAAAAAAAACCGCAGTTTGCAATTTTGCCCACGATAAAAAATACGCACGAGGCACTGGCGGTGGTCCCTCCAAAGGCCCAACAGAGACGTCAGTAGACGCAACTGTCCGCGAAATTTTGGGAGACAGATTGACAGGTTTGCCAGCGGTGTGTGATAATGATGGTAAGTTATCACTTATTAGACATTAAAATAACAACAACATGGTTGTAATTGATTCTTAAGTTCTAGATGTAGAAATAACAAACAGAAATGAAATTGAGGATTCAATTGTCCCAGAGATTGAAAATGAAGGTACCTATACAAAAAATATATACATACTTGTAAATTTCATAATAACACCTTTTTTGTAGAGAATATGGGGACGTCAAACAGCTTCTTCACAGAAAACAGTGCCTCTTCATCACAATTAGGTAAGTGCAAAGTAATAAATTAATTGTTATTAAAATTATAATATATATTTTATTTTTAGTTTTAGAAGAAGACGTAGTTGCACAACCGGGGGATACGCAGGAAAATGAATTAGGTAAGATATAAAGTATTGTTAAACATTAAACACATGGTTATTTTTTTTTCAGACTGGTCACAATACACTCCAAGAATGTTAAAAAAGCTTCCCTCGAAACCACTACAAGTTTCAAAGAAAGGTGATTTGACATAATTAATAATAGTAATAAGTAACTTTGAAAATAAAATGTACTCTCCGCAGGTAAAATAAGAGTGGGTGGAAATATTACTAATTACAAATGGTGTCAGCTTGCCGACGAGAAAAGGAACAACTCAGTTTTCAAAAAAAAGTTACTTGAAGAAGACCACAAGCAAAAACAGGAAATCCATGCAATAATGAAGAACCAATTGCAGGAGGAACATGAGCAAAAACTGCGGCATCGTGAAGAAGAACATTGTGTAAAATTGAAATTAATTCAGGAGGAGCATGCATTAAGGATGACATTGTTGAAACAACAAATCACGTTCTCCGATGTTGATAATAATCAGTAAATCAGTGAGATATAATAAATTAATTTCATATAATTTTGTTTTTATTTACTTGGTTAGATGAATACATAAGTGATGTGAACAATGAAAAATACTAAACCAACTAAAGCATAGAGCGGAACATGAGCTGAAATTGCATTTAATGAATTTAGAAATAATTTATAAACTTCTACACTATATATGTAAATTTACAAATTTGCAAAATATGCAATGAATTCATTTCTTGCTCTGTTGTTGTTATTTCTATTTACATCATCAGCAACTGGTACATCATCTGCCAAATCAAAAGCTCTTTGCTCTTCGAGATTTAAGGGAGGTGGTTCATCTTCGTCGTTTAAAATTGCGATATTATGCAAGACTGCTGTGGCTACAATTATCCAGGGAACCATTCGTAGGTGTAGATTTATGCCATTACTTAAAATCGGGAAGCGTCGTTTCCAAACACCATAAGAACGTTCAACTGGGTTTCGTGTTCTAATCAGTGACTCGTTATATAAATTTTGAGCAATTGTATTTGTCACTGTCAATGGTGTCATTAAAAAATTTTGAATAGGGTAACCTGCATCCCCAACAAGTATTGCACGCTCCATTTCTGCATTTTGAAATTTTCTGCAAATCTCAGAATTTCTAAAAATTGTTGAGTCGTGAGCAGAACTTGCTACAATATTTATTATTTTTAAATTAGAAGCAGCAATTGTTTGCACATTCAGGGAGAAAAAATTTTTCCGATTGCGATAAATTTCAGCATTTTCTCCACCTGCAAAATGTTCTATACTAATGTCCGTTAACACAAAATACCTTATTAACATACCCGGTGACTTTATTTTGATATGTGTGCAATCTAAAGCACCAACAACTCGTGGGAATCTTGCAAGTTGATAAAAACCTTGTTGCACTATAGAGATTTCTTCTCCTGTTTGAGGAAATTTTATGTATTCTTCCCGCAAATTTGCAATAGCTCTTGTAACCTTCAATTTATTGTAACATAGGTAACATTTTTATGACTAGTTTTGTCTTTCACTCACTCTGTTTATTGCTTTTCCCACAGTACTCTTGTGAACACCTCCAAAATCTCCAATTACAATTAAGAAACTGCCTGTCGCGAAAAATCGGAGTGTAATTAACAACATTTCCATTGATGTAAGAGCGTGATTCCTGAAATACATTCATTAAACAGCTTATATTATTTTAAATTGTATATTTTATACCAATTTGTCGGATGCTTTATGACATCATGAATTGAATGTATCAAATTTGTTACAGATTCTTTTGACAGTCTGAACCTACAATAAAATTCTTGGTCGTCCCAGTAATTAAAATGGTCCTTTCGTATCTGTATTCTAGGAACTTTGCGAATTCGTCCCAAGCGGACAACAAAATTAATAACTTGCTCATCGTCTGAGTCACTATCGCTAGAAGAGTAAATATTTGCCATTTTTACTTCCCGAGCGTAAGCAAAGGAAGTATTGTAATCGAGTCCGTCGGCCGACTCTCTACTTTTACGTTTTCTCGATCTTTCATGACCCCTAGAAGACGAAGAAATAGGTCTCCCATTTCCGTCTGTCTGTCCGTCCGTCTGTCCGTCCGTCTGTCCGTCCGTCTGTCCGTCCGTCTGTCCGTCCGTCTGTCCGTCCGTCTGTCCGTCCGTCTGTCCGTCCGTCTGTCCGTCCGTCTGTCCGTCCGTCTGTCCGTCCGTCTGTCCGTCTGTTGTCCCGGATTTTATTAGACAGATAATCTCCGAAAGTACTCGACCGATTGTTGTGAAATTTTGTACTTATATTAAGAATATCATGTAGATGGTAAAACGCTAACCAAAATTTGTCTAATCATCCCCACCACTAATGCGATGACGTCACTTAAAATTGTACATAGTAAATGGGTTTTCAATTGTATAAAATAACATAGTCCTACACATGTAGTTTACAACTCTGAATCGACTTTTCACCCGCAACGTCCAGATTTTTGGAAAAAAAATCAAAATTATAAAACAACATTTTGAAATTTAATTTTTAATCTGCTAACCAGAATGCTTTGAAACCTTGCAGATGTTTTAAGGCTATAAAGAGCATCATAAATCTTTAGTCAAAAAATATTTGCTTATCCCCTCCAAAAACTTGATGACGTCAGCTCGAAAGTTTGCCGAATAAATCATATCTAAAATGTACAAAATATGATGAGTCTGTACTTGTGATCTATCACTCCATTCATATTTTTTGGATTTGCATATACAGAGTGACTCAAAAAAATTAATGAATGCGTAAATATATTTTATTGATTTAATCAGGAACTACAAAACGGAATGCTCTGACATCTTGCAGATGTTTTAAGGTTATAAAGAGCATAATAAATGTTTAGTCAAAATATATTTGCTTATCCCCTCCAAAAACTTGATGACGTCAGCTCGAAAGTTTGCCGAATAAATCATATCTAAAATGTACAAAATATGATCAGTCTGTACTTGTGATCTATCACTCCATTCATATTTTTTGGATTTGCATATACAGGGTGATTTAAGAAAATAAATGAAAGCGTAAATTTATTTTACTGATTTACTCAGGAACTACAAAACCGAATGCTTCGAAATCATGAAGATATTTTAAAATTATCATAAGCATGGTAAATTTTTGATCAAAACGTATTTGGTCGTCCCCCTAAAAAATTTATGATGTCACCACAAAATTTTGCTGAAAAAATCCTATCTAAAATGTACAAAATATGATGAGTCTCTTCTTATGATTTATCATTCCATTCAAATTTTTTGGATTTGCATATACAGGGTGACTCAAAAAAATTAATGAATGCGTAAATTTATTTTATTGATTTAATCAGGAACTACAAAACCGAATGCTTTGAAATCTTGCAGATGTTTTAAGGTTATAAAGAGCATAATAAATTTTTAGTCAAAATATATTTGGTTATCTTCTACAAAAAACTGATGACGTCAGCTCAAAAGTTTGCCGAATAAATCGTATCTAAAATGTACAAAATATGATGAGTCTGTACTTGTGATTTATCATTCCAATCATATTTTTGGATTTGCATATGCAGGGTGACTCAAAAAAATTAATGAAGGCGTGAATTTATTTTATCGATTTAATCAGGAATTAGAAAACCGAATGCTTTGAAATCTTGGGAATATTTTAAAGTTATTATAAGCATGGTAAACTTTTGTTCAAAATGTATTTGTTCATCCCTCCTAAAAAAATTGATGACGTCACCCTTAAATTTTGCTGAATAAATCCTATCTAAAATGCAAAAAACATGATGTGTTTGTACTTGTGATTTATCATTCCATTCATATTTTTTAGATTTTCTTAAGAGGTGGTTCAAAAAAATTAATGAAGTCAATTTATTTTATTGATTAAATTAAAGGCAACACTTATTATTAGTATTACACCCCAACCAACCCAATTTGGTAGACACAAAATTTGTTAAAGGAAAAACTCGGTTGAAACATAAGGGTAGCACGCTTATTTACATCGACTTTAACATTACAGACCTGGATTTGTTTTATGCGTTCACTTGGTTCCGCGAATGTGAAATAGACATGTTTATAATCAACCAATTGTGAATTTCACCGTCAAGAATTAAAATAAAACCCAATGTTTTATATGTATAATAAGCGCAAGTCGAAGCAATAAAACCGATGGTCGTTTTGTTTACAGTTTCTCTGTTTGACTCTCACGTATGCTGTTACGCCTGTCATCTTAAATTAAGAATGTTTATACATGCACGATTTTCAGTTGTCTCTGATACGTAGTTATATGTGAGTAAATTGTTTCGTTATTTTATTGATTATTACAAATCAATATTCAAAACGACCCAATTCATTTTCCCGAAAATGTGAGAATATAATAATTTTATTCTTAGTATTACACTACATCTATCCCAACTGATATACGTGTCCTTGCAAAAATGTTGATGACGTCATCGCAATTTTTTTTTAAATTCCCACTACATAAATGTAATGAGAAAAAAAACACAATAGGCATGCAGTCGTCAAGTTTCCGACAGCGAGGGAAGTACTGTCTAAACTCTTTAGACCAATTTTTTTAAATTATTTTTCGCACGATTCACTTAAAAAGAAACAACACTTTCACAATCAAAATGTAAATAAAGCAAAAGTGAGGTTATAAAAACGCCTACACGCCCACCAAAATATGAAAGAATATATCCTCGCACATGCTCTTTTCAACTGGTAGACCAATTACGATACCAACTTAAGAGAAATAATGGTTAGTTAACCAGAATATACTTAACCAAATTTTCGACAATGAAATACCGGTTCTTGGTTAAAGTTTTGGTTAAAATTTAACCAAGGTTAGTTAACCCTGATTTTAACCAACTACTGAAATACCGGGCCTTAAAAGTACAAGAAAACACTTCAAAAGTGACGTTTCTGAAGAATTTTAACAGTTTTCTTGTATTTACGAACGCCAGAATGCATAAAATTGACCTAAACGTCTCCTTTTCCTATTCTGAGTCGATTCTGCATGCTTTAAGTGTGTTTGGTGGCTCAGAACCATCAAAAATCGTTGAAATATAGTTCAAATTCAATAAAAATCGACAAAAATACAGTTTCTAGCTAAAATTTGATCAATAGGTCCATGTAATTAAATATGTGAATATTTGAGTTTGGGGTCAAAAAATTTTCGTCAAAAAAGGTTGTCAGAATTAAAAAAAAAGTTTTCCTTGAGCAGTAGGGAAGCAAATTAGAAGTTTTGGTGAAAAAAAAATTTAAAAAAACCCAAAGGATATAAAGAAAAATTGAAAATAAAAAATCTCAAAAAAAATTTATCGAAATTTTGAAAAGTTTGTTTTTCCATAAAAAAATGCATCCTCATGAACTACTAGCTTACCGTAACCAAAAATAAATATGAGTCATAGGTGTGTTTACCGTTCAAATAGAAAAAAACTTTGTTACTCGAAAACGGTAAGAGATAGAAGGTTCGTGTATAGGACAAAAAAGATCCACAAATACGTATCATATACATCCCCTTCGACGTTTTTCAGCTAACTTGCAACATGGCGGTGAAAAGGGCAAAAGTTTGTAGCGTCGAAACGGCAAAACTTAAAAAAAATATTTTTGCATCAAAATATTTCTGAGTGAACAGTCTATAGGTCCACTTAGCAAAATAAATATTTTTCGCTGCCGTTTAGTAGTAATAACGAAAAAACGTCATAGTTCGTAAGCGGTAAGAGGTAGCATGTCGGCTCAGGGGAACGGGGAAAAGCTAAAAAAATTAAGCCATATGTTGAGCAAAAAAAATTTTCAAAAAAGTTGAAAATAAGGGAGAAAAGGGCAAAAGTTTCTAGTGTCCAAATGGTAAGAGATAGAATATCGGTTGTATACATCAAAACCTTCTTCTGGAACGAACGCATAAGTCTGCTCAAAAAAATCGATTCTGTCCACATCGACCTAGATACAGGAGCCATTTCTAGTTTTTTCGAGGTCGCTACGTAAAAATTTTTTCAGGTCGAAAAAAAGACCATCGAAAAAGGATTCGAATAAGCCCAACATGCAACACTTAAAAAAAAAAAAAAAAAAAAAAAAGCGAAATAGGTTGTTCTTTATATGTATTGTTATATGACTACTACCATCACAACTAAATGTACTAAGACATTAAAAAAAAAAATTTCAAGTTAACCAAAAACGGCTTTTTGTTGAATTTTATATGAAAACAACAAAACATCATTAAAAAACGAAAATCAAAAACCTATAAACAATCATCAAAAATCACTGCTGTGGTGGTAGATCGTGATGAGTCATATCGTGCTGCTGGACAAATAATTTAAAACATATTAAATAACTTATTGTTGTATTAAATCGTAGTACTGATGCTGTTAAATAAATATGTTAAAGGACATTAAATAAAACTATTAATAGTAACTAATTGTTTTATTGAATCATACATTTGTTTGAGTATTGTATTTACTAAAATAACTGAAACAAATTAGTACTAAATAAAGTAACAGACAAAATACGATTGCAAAAATAATTGCTCCTACTGAAGTAAATATCCATATCCATGGTTTTGCCAAACAATATTCTGTAACATTTGCACCTGTAGAATTCTTGTATCCACTATAATCGTTAATGATGGTGTAATTCGGTGACTTGCATCGAGTGTTGTCTTTGAAGACTAATTCTAGCCGATATTGCAGTTGGTTCGAGGAAGATACAATTTTTGAATAAAACATACGTAGTTGTTCATGCCCATTTTTAATTTCTAACATTTTTCTAACAATACATTCTTTACTACTATCAATAGTTTGTAGATAGACATCAGTAACATTGCTATCAGTCAATAAATAAAAATCTTTCTGAATTAGAATGGTTGATAGAACAAGTGTGCAGTTTAAGCCGAACATTGTTTGGATGAAATGAATAGTTT